AACTATTACTATATTAGTTTTATATAAAATAATTAAGTATAAGAATCTAGATTCTAGTACAGGGGTTCCCAACCTTTTTTTACTCTAGAGCACATTCTAAAATATCGGTAGGGTGGCGGGCACCACCTGTTTTAAATCGACAAACTCCTTCCATAGGCGTAGCGACCCTTCCCGTCACCCGGGGACAAAACTTTCGATTTGCACCCCACCGTCAAATCTCAAATTTTCGATTTGCAACCCCCCCCCCCCCCCTCAAACTTTCGATTTCCATCCCCTTCAACCTTTCACAATAATGTTTATGAAATAAATTCTGTCGAATAGTGGAATAGTGAGAGGCGGGCACATACAAATCCTTCGGCGGGCGCCATGGCGCCCGCGGGCACAGGGTTGGGAACCCCTGTTCTAGTACACCTAGAAATTTAGTTCATAAAAATAAATCTGTTCTAGATTTAGATCATACGAATGGTGATTGATCTATTATCGATCTAAATCTAGATTTGCATCATGATTGTTAAATGGCAATAAAATATAGAATAATGATTAAAAGGCAAAAGGTCAAGTTTAAGATTGACCAGGCTTTACTTGGCTTATAGCATGAGTTAAGAAACTCCTTCATCATTCATGTCCTGTCTGTATTGACAAGATGTAATAGCTGTTCTACAAAAATCCAACTTTCCCATGCTGTATTGTAAGTCTGCATTCAAAGAGTAGAAATGAATGAGTATTAAAACAGGGGCAGCCTAGATTAGTAAAGTTTGCTGTGTGTATGAGGAAATGGAAAAAATAAATCAGTGTACCCTGTCTTCAGAAATTTAAAGTGTGCCCCTCTCCTACCCTGGAGTTTAAAGTGTCTGAAAGAAACCCTAATAAAGCTGTAAATCAACAGTTACATCACTGGCTGAAACACTTTTTAAAAAGGGAGATAAGGGAACTTGCCCTCATGGGCAAGGAAGCACCTAAGTTGAACTGTTAGTTTTGATGGATGCCACACAAAATCCGTTTCTTGAAGGGCAAAACTTGAGCACTGTGGATTCACAAGTAGTATAAGGTCAGGTGTTGACAACACAGGAAATACATTGCAGTGTTGTCAATGTTGAGTGACAATATTTCAGAAAAAAAATCTTTCTGCATTTTTCAAGTTTGTCATTAACAGTTTAAACAAGGATCCACACAGTCTCACTTTGACAATCAGATGAAGGCCACACTGAATCTTTGACTACCTTCATACTAATATATGAGAGTTATTCATATCATGAGCTCCATATGTGTAAGTAATTTTTCTCTTTTAATGTGGGTCTAGTTTTGAGCTCCACCATTTTCTTTCTTTAATACACACGCCCTCTTTTAAGTTACTGTAGATATCATAGATAATATCTGCACGATCCTAGGTGTTCAAGTCACCATCCCAGCACACACTTTCAGGTGTTCAAGTCACCATCCCAGCACACACTTTCAGGTGTTCAAGTCACCATCCCAGCACACACCTTCAGGTGTTCAAGTCACCATCACAGCACACACTTTCAGGTGTTCAAGTCATCATCCCAGTAGGCTACACACTTTCAGATGTTAAGTCACCATCCCAGCACACACTTTCAGGTGTTCAAGTCACCATCCCAGCACACACCTTCAGGTGTTCAAGTCACCATCCCAGCACACACTTTCAGGTGTTCAAGTCATCATCCCAGTAGGCTACACACTTTCAGGTGTTAAGTCACCATCCCAGCACACACTTTCAGGTGTTCAAGTCACCATCCCAGCACACACCTTCAGGTGTTCAAGTCACCATCCCAGCACACACTTTCAGGTGTTCAAGTCACCATCCCAGCACACACTTTCAGATGTTCAAGTCATCATCCCAGTAGGCTACACACTTTCATGTGTTCAAGTCACCATCCCAGTAGGCTACACACTTTCAGGTGTTCAAGTCACCATCCCAGCACACACTTTCATGTGTTCAAGTCACCATCCCAGCACACACCTTCAGGTGTTCAAGTCACCATCCCAGCACACACTTTCAGGTGTTCAAGTCACCATCCCAGCACACACCTTCAGGTGTTCAAGTCACCATCCCAGCACACACTTTCAGGTGTTCAAGTCACCATCCCAGCACACACTTTCAGGTGTTCAAGTCACCATCCCAGCACACACTTTCAGGTGTTCAAGTCACCATCCCAGTAGGCTACACACATTCAGGTGTTCAAGTCACCATCCCAGCACACACTTTCAGGTGTTCAAGTCACCATCCCAGCACACACCTTCAGGTGTTCAAGTCACCATCCCAGCACACACTTTCAGGTGTTCAAGTCACCATCCCAGCACACACTTTCAGGTGTTCAAGTCACCATCCCAGCACACACTTTCAGGTGTTCAAGTCACCATCCCAGCACACACTTTAAGGTGTTCAAGTCACCATTACATCCCAGCACACACTTTCAGGTGTTCAAGTTACTTTGTGTTGGGCTAGCTGCACCATTACACATTAGCACTTTGTGTTGGGCTAGCTGCACCATTACACATCAGCACTTTGTGTGGGGCTAGCTGCACCATTACACATCAGCACTTTGTGTGGGGTTAGCTGCACCATTACACATCAGCACTTTGTGTGGGACTAGCTGCACCATTACACAAGAGCACTGTGTGTGGGGTTAGCTGCACCATTACACATCAGCACACATCAGTAGTTTGTGGGCCATGATAACTTTGACTAAACAAAATAGCTCTTAATATTTTCTTTCCTCAATACACACGTCCTCTTTTAAGTTACTGTAGATATCATAGATAACATCTGCACGATCCTAGGTGTTCAAGTCACCATCACATCCCAGCACACACTTTCAGAAGTTCAAGTCACCATCCCAGCACACACTTTCAGGTGTTCAAGTCACCATCCCAGCACACACTTTCAGGTGTTCAAGTCACCATCCCAGCACACACTTTCAGGTGTTCAAGTCACCATCCCAGCACACACTTTCAGGTGTTCAAGTCACCATCCCAGCACACACTTTCAGGTGTTCAAGTCACCATCCCAGTAGGCTATACACTTTCAGGTGTTCAAGTCACCATCCCAGCACACACTTTCATGTGTTCAAGTCACCATCCCAGTAGGCTATACACTTTCAGGTGTTCAAGTCACCATCCCAGCACACACTTTCAGGTGTTCAAGTCACCATCCCAGTAGGCTACACACTTTCAGGTGTTCAAGTCACCATCCCAGCACACACTTTCATGTGTTCAAGTCACCATCCCAGTAGGCTACACACTTTCAGATGTTCAAGTCACCATCCCAGTAGGCTACACACATTCAGGTGTTCAAGTCACCATCCCAGCACACACTTACAGGTGTTCAAGTCACCATCACACCCCAGCACACACTTTCAGGTGTTCAAGTCACCATCCCAGCACACACCTTCAGGTGTTCAAGTCACCATCCCAGCACACACTTTCAGGTGTTCAAGTCACCATCCCAGCACACACTTTCAGGTGTTCAAGTCACCATCCCAGTAGGCTACACACTTTCATGTGTTCAAGTCACCATCCCAGTAGGCTACACACTTTCATGTGTTCAAGTCACCATCCCAGTAGGCTACACACATTCAGGTGTTCAAGTCATCATCCCAGCACACACTTTCAGGTGTTCAAGTCATCATCCCAGTAGGCTACACACCTTCAGGTGTTCAAGTCACCATCCCAGCACACACTTTCAAGTGTTCAAGTCACCATCACATCCCAGCACACACTTTCAGGTGTTCAAGTCACCATCCCAGCACACACCTTCAGGTGTTCAAGTCACCATCCCAGCACACACTTTCAGGTGTTCAAGTCACCATCCCAGCACACACTTTCAGGTGTTCAAGTCACCATCCCAGCACATACTTTCAGGTGTTCAAGTCACCATCCCAGCACACACTTTCAGGTGTTCAAGTCACCATCCCAGCACATACTTTCAGGTGTTCAAGTCACCATCCCAGCACACACTTTCATGTGTTCAAGTCACCATCCCAGTAGGCTACACACTTTCACTAGCTTTAAGTAAGTAGCGTGGTCAGACATAACGTGGGTGAACTATTAGGGTTTACATATCAGTCAGCTGACGTAACATGACGGATGGGGGGGTGGGACGGGACTAATGACCTCATGCTGCATAATCTTGTATGGTGGTCATGTAGGCCCTACTCATCATTAGGTAGCACGCCAGTTGTCTGAGCTACCAGCACTGAGCCAGTCTAGTTTGTAGACAACTTGATCAGCCCGTTGTTCCTTGTTGTTTTCTAAATGATATTTTGGAACTCAATGTGTTAAAAATTGCTGTAGACACCATTTGAAAAAAATTACATCTATACCAGCGGTATTCTCGTCAGAGTTTCTTCCAGGCATCTCTTTTCGGGGTGTCCCCCCCACCCCCTCCCCCGAAGGAAATCAAATTTATATAGAAAATATTTACTTTTACAGTGTCCATCGTCGTCGTCTCTTTACCCCGCCCCTACCCGGAGAAAAAAGTCTTGAAGAAACACTGGTTCTCGTACACCCAACAGCAAAAAAAAAAATATTTCCTCTGTTGGAATTACTCACCTCGTCATTTGGGATTTTTGTATTATATTATTTATAGACCTGTAGGTCACAGAGGTCATCGGTCAATAATTCAGTAATATTCTTTTGAAAGTTTTTTCCCCTGTTGTTTAAAAAGGTATTTTAAATTGTATACGGTATTGGTAATTTGTCATCTGACAGATAATTATTGTGGTCTGGACAGTTTGATGTAAGATGTGGCCAGTAGCTCTTAGATTCAACTAGATCTAGTAACAGAACCCCATAGAAAGGCTGTAAGTGTAAGTAACTATCGAGTGAACCAAAAAGTAGGTCACCTGTCCCGTACAATGAAAGAAGGGTTGTCTCCCCTGTGTCGCCCGTGACGCAGCCAGGTACCGATTGCGGAAGTGGACAAGTGTTTGAAACATCTCGCTGAATACCACTCATCTAACTTGCAGGTGACCACTAACGTGCTTAAACTTCTGTATTTTTGTCTGGGTTTTCTCTGTCTGTTTGATACAGGCCAGTCGCCTGTTCTTTAAACAAAGGCCATTGCGCTTGATTCATTTTATTTGGTGATGATCCTGCTAGTCCGTTTGTTACCTGTCGTGAGCTGGATGCCATTTTGAGTTTCCTACCTGTGTAGTTCCGTGACACTGTCAGGTAGATTACATGTTCATTTCTTCAACTGACCTATAGTTCGTCTTCGCTAGTTTTTTTTTTTTCTAACAATGTGCTGATATGTGAGTGAATTGATAACAGTTTTATCAAATATTATTTGCATTTAATTTCCGAAATTAGATTTATTTCATTATTTCCGCCATTTCCTGGTTCAACAATAATCCTTACACAGTGCGACATGCCTGAAATACCCTGAGAATTTCTATAGCGTCCAACCATCCATATTTTCTTGATATTCTAGACCCCAGAAAAATAGGCACATTAAAAATTAAAATGAGCTTTTCTATTACAAACTCTGTCATATCACATCAATTAAGTCACCTGGGTGAACAGGTGATTCGTTTAAATCAGGTTTTATTGAAAGATGTCACTGTGAACACATTTGTCATTTAATGACATTTATATTCATTCTGCACATGGTCTAACTTTAACACTGTACTAACATTAACAAATGTGTTCAGTTTGGGATCTCTGTTATAATAAAAACAATCTTAAACTTTTCCAAGATGTGATATTTTAATTTAGGCCTAATTGCCATTGTTATTATATTTAGCCCATATGATAATATGATAAAGTTTTCTCCATCTAATCTTTAATTGTTAAAAGTTTGTTACTTTTAGAGATGGTAAGCTGGCTTTGTCAGGTGATATTTATTTTATTCTAGAAAATATATTTTCATGATGTAGGTTATAAAAAAAATCAATTTCTCTTGTTTTACAAATGTAAAAAAAAATCTTAAAAAGAAAAGGCATAGACCTGTATAACTATGGACCAGCTTAAGTCATACAAGTGTTTGCTTTTAAGCTTAAAAAATATTTTTATTTTAATAAGTATTATTTTCACTATAAAAGTTAGCATAACGTTAAATTTTTTCTACATTTGTTTTTGGTTGTGACTGCTGTTGTGCTTGGGCCTTTATCATTGTTTAAGTTAAAAATTTATTCCAAAAATCTAAATGCTACTAACCTGTTATGCAAAAAAATATGAAGGAAGTGAAAAGGCTGTTTATCAACTTGTCATAATTTGCTACTAGGAGGATATAGCAGAGGAAGATCTCTGCACTAGTGAGTCCAGTAGCTGCAGCATGGATGGACCACAGAGCCAAGGCCCTCCCCCGGGGATCAGGCCAATTGTTCCTATTGATAACAAAACTCGCATCCCAAGACCAATGCAGTGTAGTGTTTTGCTGCTAAATGGGGAGGTGTACGAGGTGGCTGTTGACGTGAGTACCCAACTTGATGTAGTGTTCTGTTGTTAAATGGGGGGGTGTATGAGGTGGCTGTTGACGTGAGTACCCAACTTGATGTAGTGTTCTGTTGTTAAATGGGGAGGGGGGTGTATGAGGTGGCTGTTGACGTGAGTACAGAACTTTGAAATTACACTGTTCAAATCACTATTTATGCCTCCTTTGATAGTATTGTAAAAATCTAAGTGATCTGGTTCAATTATTTTTATTAGGAATGATAAAATGATCCACCAATTATTTTTTTTAGAAACAAGTCAATTTTTTTGTCATTAGAAATTTTCAAACAGTTTTGTTTTTCTATAGAAACGATCAACAGGACAAACCCTTTATGAAAGAGTTTGTGATCACTTGGACTTGCTGGAGAGGGACTATTTTGGGCTGACCTTTAAAGAAGACCTTGACCCAGAGAATGTGAAAGTACGATTATTTTTGTTGTTGTTAATCATTAAGCATCTTAGGGAGATTACGGATGTTACCAATTGTGCATTATGCATACATAACCCATTCATTCTAATAAGTCTACTCGTAGTCTTGTTTTCTTACTAGAATTTGTTTCATTTTTGGCGGAAAATGGAAAACAATGCAGACAGTTCTGCACCAATATAATTTGTATACCTACTATTTTGTATAAGAGACATCTAACTAAAAATAGTATGCAATGCTCTAGTTTTAAAATCTGTTTAACCATTGTCTAATTCAACATTTCTTTTACCTGCCTCACAGTATTGGCTCGATCTGAACAAAAAAATTACCAAACAAAAAAAAAGTAAGTTAATTCTGTTTTTTTTTATGTATATATTATTGATTTATTATAATGCGTTTCATTTCTTTGGATGTTCATAAATCCAATTTTTAAATGTGCATAGTACTTATTTTGTTAAAGAAAAAAAATAAAGCTATAAATCAGGCTAAATTCCTGCAAGCACATTTCACATTGGCTCTTAAAATCTTGTATTATGAATTATTGTCTCTATTTTAGGAGGAAAGATGGAATTTGAGTTTGCGTTGAAGTTCTATCCCCCAGATCCTACTCAGCTTTCAGAGAGTTTGACCAGGTAACTTGTCATGGCATTTGTTCTTGTGTTCAGTCCTGGTATCTGTTCTTGTCTTCAGTCATGGTATCTGTTCTTGTGTTCCATCATAGGTTTTCTAAAAACAATTAAAATGGCTAGTAGAAAAAAAAAGGAAATTTAGGCCTATATTAATATTAGCATCTCTTGCTGAACAAACTCAATCATGTGTCAGGCCTCAATTAAAGTCTTTTGCACTAAAGTAACTTTAACTATTTATATTTCAGATACCTAGTTTGTCTACAGATTAGGAGAGACATAATAAGTGGAAAGTAAGTAAATTTTATGTTAAAATTTCTCTGTTCGTGTTTAGCTTCACTTAGAAATTCTAAGATTGAGAAAAGACTTGCTTATCCCATCGGCAGTTAATGTCTTTAGAAACACTGACGGGTAATGAAATTTTCAAGGTTTCAGCTACACAGAAGGGATTATTTGTGTTATGTTAATTTTGTTTAGGCTGCCTTGCTCTCAGGCTACACAGAAGGGATTATTTGAGTTATGTTAATTTTGTTTAGGCTGCCTTGCTCTCAGGCTACACAGAAGGGATTATTTGAGTTATGTTAATTTTGTTTAGGCTGCCTTGCTCTCAGGCTACACAGAAGGGATTATTTGAGTTATGTTAATTTTGTTTAGGCTGCCTTGCTCTCAGGCTACACAGAAGGGATTATTTGAGTTATGTTAATTTTGTTTAGGCTGCCTTGCTCTCAGGCTACACACGCCATGTTAGGGTCCTATGCTGTCCAGGCTGATATTGGTGACTATGACCCCATTGACCATGGCACAGGTGTGGATTACATTAGAGACATGCCTTTTGCCCCAGACCAGACTGAAGACTTAATCTACAAAATTGCTGCCTTACACAAACAACACAAGTGAGTGATAACATTTTATACATCTCTTTTAGGCTCGCTGTGATAAATGGGGTTTTTTAGTTTATTTTTATTGTAATAACCCTCAAATTGTATGTGAACATCATTTGTTTAAAATTGTCATCTATTAATTTTTAAGAATTTGTTACTGACTGTAAATCTGAACTTGCCTCTCATTTCCAGAGGACAAACCCCAGAGCAGGCAGAGCTGCATTATCTGGAGTACAGTAAAAAAATTGCCCTGTATGGAGTAGATCTTCATAAGGCCAAGGTAAAAATAAATTTAGCAGCACTTGGTTATTAAAACACTACCTTGTTATTCAGTGCTGTTAAACTATTGTGTTGCTTAAGATTTTGTTCTTTGTTAATTATAAAAGCTGTAATTAATAACTACTTTGATACAAAGTTAAATTATCAGCTCAAATGGTAGCTAGAAAGTGATTTTTTTGTTTTTAAATGGCTGCTAGACAAAAACCTGTGTCTTTGATATATGTAAATAGCATTATAGACAATAGAGGCATGGCTTCTTTCTTAAATCTGTATTTTTGTTCATGATATTGCCGAGAATGAACATTTAACTTACTATTAATGTAACATTTATCTGTGGAATACAGCACTGCTTTTATAGTATTTATCTTTTAATTTTTACTGTGTGTTTTGCTCCAACATACCCAACAGAACATATAAGTAATTCACTACAAATGCTAAACACCCATTACTATTTTCAGACAATAATTTGATAAGCTAATTAAAATATATATTGTTGATATGACCATGAAACTTAAAATAACAAAAATAAGGCTTGATCCTGTTCTGCTGACATTTAACTATGAATCTAGTTATAAAAGGTCATGAGAATTTTTTTTTTTTTTGTTTTTGTATCCATGAAATAACTGACCATGATTTTCATCAAATAATTTGTATGTTTACTTTTGTCAATCTGCCTTGTTGCCAGGATTCTGACTATGTTGATATTTTACTGGGTGTGGGAGCTACTGGCATTTCTGTATACAGAGATAATCTCAGGATCAACAGATTTGTTTGGCCAAAGATCTTAAAAATATCTTACAGAAGAAACAAGTTCTTGCTTAGGATTCGCCCAGCAGAGGTAAACACAACAATAGGAATACTAAAGTTTGATTACATACTAGCAGTAGTAACATTAAAGTTTGATTACATACTTGCAGTAGTAACACTAAAGTTTGATTAAATACTAGAAGTAATATCTCATGTCAAATTGGCTTCACACATGGTTATTTATCTGCCTCCCCTGATTTATTTGCCTCATGTCTATCTATACATTGATGCTATCTAGCTGTGAAATTGGCACATAAATTGCAGATAACCTTTAGTCAGATGGCTTCCCAATTTTAACCTTTTATTATGTTGACAGTTTGAGACTTATGAAAGCTGGATTGCATTTAGACTTCCAAACAATAAAATGGCCAAACGTGTGTGGAAAATTGCAGTGGAACACCATGCTTTTCTTCGGTATGTATTCTTCAATGTCTTTATTTTCTTCACTATTTAGCTATTTATTATTGATTCTTTATAAGATATGATTTTCAACGTTTCCTGTGTACTGTGTTCACAGATATTAAGGGAATTGTTTACACTTAGTGTACACAGAGTACGTAATGATTTGATGGAATTACCTAAATAGATCACAAAAACTGACATGTTTAACTGAAATGTAATAACATTCTTATTCCAATGTTTTAAGCCAGAAGCCTTTAAAATGTTGGCTGTCTGCAGTTGTTTTCACTTTCTGAAAATGACTAGGTCAATTTGTTTTAATGAAATAGAAACAAGCATTAATTTAGATACATTTGTCTTTTTTTTCTAAAAATAATAACTTGAATTTAGATAATTTAAAATCATTATTTAAAATTGCAAACGCCACAATCAAATACCCATTACCTTTGTGGGTTTCATTTTGGATCAAATCAAGTTTTGAATGTCTTACACCTTCAAAACTTGTTAACTGTAATTTTTTTTTTTTTTAATGGTTTCATAGAAGCTTTACATACTCAATAAATTTATTGTAAAGGCATTGTATTTCTTCACCCTACAGTCTACTAATTTTTTAATACATCATCTGTAGGTTTTTTTAACTAAGTATTTCAAGTATAGGAATATTCAGCTGACTTTAATATGTTATTAACCGGTTTTGATCACACTTTTTGTAGTTTGAGATCAGCTGATGATGCCAAGAAGAGGACAGGCTTCCCACGGTTTGGTTCCAAGTATCGCTACTCTGGCAGGACACTTTATCAGACAAGGCTCAATGCTTCCATGGCAGACAGACCATCCAAGCAGTTTGAGAGGGCTCACAGCAGACAGTCCCTGAACTCGGTCTTAAATAACAACAAATCTAGGAGTCAGGATAATTGTAAGAATCCTAGCCATTAATATTACAGCTCTCCACCATAACTCAGTCTTAACTCTTTCAGCCCATAATTAATTTTATGTTTCACCGGAGTTGTTTTATTTTTCATTACATTTTTTTTTTTTGTATTTCAGCTGCAAAACTACTCATATTTTTTTTGCCTGTTGATTACTGTGCACTACTGATATGAATTAATTGTAATTGATATGAATTTTAACTAATTATTTATTTATTTAAGATAAAATATTGGTTTTAAAGAAGAAAAAGTAGCGGGTTTTTTTTCGTGAGAATAATAAGCTTGTGTTGGGAAAATTAATATTAAGAATGGATTTTTCTGAGGTCTTGTTCATAGAAAACAAAAGAGCTTTCATTTTTCTACCAAAAAAAAAACATTGATCGGATTAGTATTAGAATAAACACTTTAATTTTATAACAGCAATGTAATTGTTTGAGCCAAGTAATTTTGATGGTTGTGGTTAGGTAAGAAAAAAACTTTTGTACTGTGGAAATAACTACTTTACTTGAAGGTGCATTGGTAAGTGCAACTATAGTTTTTATTACTGTGTAGGCTTTATAATTGTTAAATCTACTATAACAATTTTATTTTTTTTCTCAGTGAGTCATCGACGTGACTTGTATGAATATCGTAGCCTGGATATTCACAATCTTTCGTTTAATGCAATGAAGGAAGATGTGAATAGATCGGCACTTTCAAGAGTAACTGAAGATTCCTTCCAGGAAGACAGAACACCGTTGCAGTCTCCACTACCAAAAGAAGAATCTCCCAAAGTTATAACTCGAGAAATTATTAGGCAACCAGGTAACTGTAGTTTTCAAACATTTTCATCAAATTTTAATGAGATTGTGACTCAGGATCTGTCTCATGTAGCTATTTTCTACTGGAAACTTGGAGGCATATGAGAATTTATTTTAATTTGCTGTGGCAATTTAACGTACAAAGATTTCCCAAAATTTAAACCTAGATTTTGCTCAACAGTTAAAAAGGCCAAAGGGGAAAGTTCATCTTCAGAGGATGAAGATTTTGATAACCGGCTTCCTGCAGTTCCTCAAGATTCCCCACAAGAAGAGAGAAGGCCAACTGTCAGGTATTCTCCTCATGAAGATAGGAGAGGTGTGTCCAACCACATGGGAGGGGTGGCAACTCCTCTAGCAGCAGTAGCCCTGCAGAACAAGAGGAGATCTGAGAGTGACAGATCAGAAAGTCTGGACCGGTCAAGAGACAGTTCCAGTGCAAAGGGTAGCTTAGACTCTATTGATCTGAAGGAAACACCTGCAGCTAAAGTCAAGCCTGCAGTTGCACCAAAACCTGGCAAAGAAAAGCCTCCAGTTGCTAAAGTAAACAATTTTCACTTATCACATTTAGTTTCCATTTTTGCCTATTTATTACATTAAGTATGCAGTGGAACCCCCATAGCCTCTTTAAAAGCTTGGGTTAGTAGCAGGAATGGCAAAGTTGTAATCAACGTTTGAACATATTTGAATCACAGTTGATTAACAGAACTATTTATAGCAATACAATTCATTAACTTCATTCATTGCTTTCTTTTTTTTTACAGAAACCAGAAAAGCCTCCAGTAGCGGAAAAACCACAGAAAGCTCTAAAGCCTTCAAAGAAAGAAAAGGAAAATGAATCTAAGAAGGAAAAAGACTCCAAAAAAGAAAAAGATTCTAAAAAAGAAAAACCTCCTAAAAAAGAAAAAGAAACACCTCCTAAAAAAGAAAAAGAAGCAAAGAAAGAAAAAGACTCAAAAAAAGACAAGGGAGCAAAAAAGGAGGCAGTAAGAGAAGTGTTTATGTAAAAGTTGTGTGTATAGCTCTGTGTTCACAATTGTTATCAAACTATCAGCAGCATACATTTTAATGTTTATATTTGTCTTATCGATTTTTTCAGTACTTTTGTTGTATGTCCATTGATTTTCAATTGCGGTTTATAACATAGTTATCATATTGTATGCTGACTTGAGTTTAATCAGTTTACAAGTAGAACTGATCTTTTTATACCATAAACAGTGGGCAGCCTAAGTAAGAGAGATTATAGATGCCGATATTATCTTTTATCAGTTTTAAATTGTGTATTTGATTTCTTCATTGAAAGGTAAAACTGTTATCCATTTTCATTCTCAGTTTCAACCAATTTCAATACATTTTTGCTGCTTGTTAATTTGTGAGTTTTGAAGAATGGCATAATTGTTTACTTTGTGAAGTTTACTTTTCGTCCATTACAATTGTGAACTTGAAAAAGATTAGTATGGATTAGTAGTTGTGGGGATTTTTACTGTACATATTTGTTTTAAATAGTCCCTTAAATTGAATATTATTGACTGTAAAAAAGACTGTATATGATGTTGGAAAGTGTTTTATATATCATCCATTGTATATTTCACATTTAGTGTTTGCACTGGATTACTTTTAACTCCAGACTGCACAGTTGTCTTGTAGTGGAGCAATATTTAATTTTCTATCCTGCATTTTTAAGGCTTGTTTGGGCATCATTTTAATCCAAGATATGTAACCAAAAAAAGTGTGTTGCCATTTTTTAGGTTAGTTTTTTTTTTTTTTTTTAACATTTTGTACTACCAGATACCAGATTTTAAATAAGATCTTTTTTTAGTTTTTTGTTCTAGACAACAAAGTAAATTTTACTAAAAATTTTTTATTGTAAAATTTTAAGTGCTCAATGTAAAAAAAATATTTATATTTTTAAAGAGCTATTACAGGTAAATATTCTAATGCAATGCCTTCCATTTTAATTAACAATATTTTCATGATCGTTAACTTGGTCTTTAAAATAAAGGTTGAATTAAAATGTAAAATATTGGCCACATGTACTATTTTATATTTGATACTCTTTATTCCTTGTAATTCGTAACCCAACATTCCATATTGTTTACAAGATTGTACATTTTTATATATGCAAAAATTTTGACAGCATGTTTAATGAATTGGCAGTTTTTTAATGAAAGTGTAATGTATACTTTTAATTTCATAATATTGTCTGTTTTTAACTATACAACCATTGAACATTAATAAACATCAACATACAATTTAAAAATGTTTCTATATCATTGTTCTTTAATTATTACCTTTATTTTTAACTCAACCTTGAGCTCTAGTTTTTTAAAACATACAAATTTATTGAAAGACAAAATACATGAGCATTAAGTTTACTGGCATTAAAAATATACCATATTAGAATAGATATATTCTACACACAGATTACATGGCAACAATTGAAATGACAGTCACTCCCCTTAAATACGTAGGTTAATTGTGGCATTTTAAAAACATAACTTTTGTCATAATTTACATCAAGTCAATGATATGAGTAATTTAGAATCTATTTAAATGCAAAAATCAAGAAAGTATTACATGAAACCAGTAAATGAATGGTGAACATTTGAATAAATACAATTATGATTGAATGAAAGCCCAACATGTCTGTAGTATGTAGGTGCTAATTTGTTGAGTGAACAAAATACTAAAATGTTAAAAATATAGAAATAGAAAATGTAGTTGAACTTAAAACACACTTTATATAAAATAATCAACTATCTAGATTGTTAATTCATCAGATTATATACTGTTCTATTAACCGCCTGCTGCTTCCTACCCATTTAATGCTTAATCAAATAATTAGTTTACAAACACTAGTTTACATTGGGGCAAGGTATTGATGGGTCCACGCTGTACACTTGAAAATATAATATAGGGTCGCGTTTTTCTTAGGGATCAGTGCTTAACACTAACCAGTTGGAATATTTTCTATTGCACACTGGAGTTCATCCTCCAAATCTGACGCTAAGGATGAATACAGTAAAGACATTGGTTGTGACGTCGCTTCGTGTGTGGTGAATTTGTGACTGGGTGGCTCACTATAGTTAATTTCTCGCATGAAATGGGGTAACGAGTAGGACGACGAGCACATACCCGTGCTACAATAACACGAGGATGGCACGTTGTTAAAGATTGGTGGCGAAGTCGGACATCGATCAATCGGAGAGAGAGATGTATAGGCAGCGGAGCTTGAATCCGATACAGGCGAAGGAGAAGAGTTCACAAATGGGGATTTCATACTTACAAAGAAATCCACCGTGTCCTGAATGGATAAGTCCGTAATATCCTCTACAAATGCAGCAGATGGCGGGGAGGGCAAAGAATTTTCACTGTCTATGTAAGAGTTGTCAATTTTGTTTATTTCATGAACCATGGAGAGGGGTGTTGTTGAAAATGGCTGTCTGATGCTGGGAATATCGGCGTAATCATAATATGATGGACTAGAACATCGGTATTGTTCGGGAGAACGGTAAACACTTCCAGTGGAACGCGTGTACCCGTAATTGGGCACGGTGTAAGGAGCATATCTTCCGGGTGTCGATAACGAGGGCTGCATAGAAACTGGTTGATACTTCTGGGAAGCTGCATACAAAAATGGGGAAAACATTTGTTGAGCGTGAGAGGAGGAGAAACGTAAAGCCTCCATTCTGGACATGAGACTAGCTCGACGTCTGCAGCTGTCGCACTTACAACACTGTGTGCCCAGCATTAGCATCTGAGCTGCGTTACGGGAATAATTTTTTTTAGCATCATACCCGCTGCTGTTGCTGCTGCTCATACTGCTGTTGGAAAGCATTGTCGATGGTGTGATATTTGCTAGAAGACGCTTCGGTACCATTGACGGGGGACGATGTCTGGCCTTTGGTGCCAGATCTCGTGGGTCATCATCACAACTTGTACAGCAATAACTTTTAACATTACAAGAAACATTTCCATTTAAGTTCTGGCACCGATTGCCTCCCAAGCTGTTTTGCTGCACAGGGATTGTATTTTTAAAACAATTCACATCAGATGGCAATGGCGTGTGCCCATTAAAAGAGTTTGTATTATTTCTATTAAAATTACTGGTGCTGATGATATTACTGTTGTCTTTGCTGCTGTAACAAGCGATCCTCTTCAACACAGGAGCATTGTTAGTGCTCCCCAGTATGATAGGCCCTGGGCTCTTCGTCTCCTTACACTTGAAACTGGTCGGTTTAGCTGTTGTTTTTTGCTTCCTCCTGTCGTTTGAGTCTGGAACTCGAAACCCCTCATGTGTGGTGGTAATGTCGATACAAAGACACGGGTCCTTTGAACAAACTTTACACCTCATGACACATTTACTGCTAGGACACCCCGAACTGGTCCTGTTCAAGCTAATCTGATTCAACTTTGGCTCCCCTTCTTTGTTGTTGGCCACAGTTGGTATGGGTACGTTTGTATTGCTAATGGAAACACTCGTATTCGGTTTAACAAGAGATGGCTTTCCGAACATGCCAACACCCCATTGTTGCTTCATCTCTTCCGGTAGCAAGGCACTTGGACTGAGGTTGTACCCAAACCCTTTACATTTACAATCGGAAGGTTTTTTGCGAGAATTTTTTTTAATTGTATAATCAGCTATAGGATTTTCGTCAGAGAAAACTGACGGTAAAAAGGGGTCTCCGCGTTTCATTGGGCTTGATATCTTCGTAATATTGCCTTTAGTGACTCGCTTCTCTTTGACTTTCAATTTTGCCCCGTTTTTTGTTAAGTCATTACTGGTAGACAAGCAAGTTGGGGGTAAACCAGCTATAGGTGAAACTTCGATATCAAGAACATCGTTTGGACGGACAACAGAAGCTTTTAATGTTGCATCATCGTCTTCAGCACAAAACATCGTTTTTTAAGTTTCACCAGTTCTAAAAAAAAAAAGAAGAAGAAGAAAGAATATACCATATCTAGAACTCTATTCAATACCATGTTTCATAGTTTCATTTTTTTAAAATGTTTTTAATCTTGTTGTCTACTTAGAATGTTCTTTCGTATTTGCAGTTTCAATAATAGGCTCATGTTATGTGGAAAAAGATAATAATAATAGGGAGTGCATTGTTCCAAATTATTACTATTGTGATAAATAAATTACATACGCCAAACAATACGCATATTCCTATTTCATAAATAAAACGATTTAAAAAATAATTTTGGAATGTTTTGCTTGTTATAACAAACTACTGATTCATTACGACCAAGGCTTACAGTGGTCACGGGCCAATCTAAAAAAAATGTTCTTTATACTTCTACATAAGGACTCGCGATACCCATTCTTCTTATCATGGACAAGTCGTTTATATTTTCTTATTGTAAAAAATTACTGGGGTAGATAAGCTAGTGACTGCTATTAAAAATTTGTGTAACTATCTCAAGTTCGCAAATTAATTAGTGGCCAGCTAAATGTCAGCGGGCTTTCACGTGGAGAAAATATGAATGAGTCATAAATTATGTTAGTATATAATGTTAGACCTGTACCTCAATAAGATGTGCGAGTTAATTATTTTCTATCGATGACCCATGGGTCAATTAAATTATTAAAATAACCGTCACAAATGTCTTTGGGGTGATTGCTAACATCCTTGAAGCTAAAATTTACAATTTATTTTCCCCTCAAGTTCGTGTTACCTCGAAACCAATTCCATCATGTTTACTAGCCTTTAAATCGTAACATTGTGCTGAAAAAAGATCAACCACACTCGTTAGGAGCGATCTACTTTTTTAAATGAAAGAACCTGCATATGCTTTCAGTGTTGAAGCAATACGGTGCTAAAATGTGCGCCACACCCAAATGCACACGCATAATCCATTTTACCGCGACGTAAATTAACTATAAATTGCAATACGTTTTGGTCCCCTTTTTAATACTAAATACATTTATTTTAAACAGTGTTAATATTCCCTCGATTATATTATTCTAGTAGAGCCTATTGATACTATTAAACTTGTAATTTTTAATATAATTGAATTAATTAAAACAAAAATCGTTTTCGACCCTCATCTCAGCTTGTTAAAAAGATTGTACCATGCAATTTAATAATCTGTCAATTTGTATTCTAAAACAAATTTAAACCCAAAATAATGACAAACACTTGTAATAATAGGCTACACGTGGCGTTAACTTCTTGGATAGGATACGAAAGATTTTTTAGGCTTATAAAGACTGTAAAGTTTTGTTACGTTAGGCCTACTCTATTCAATCTTTAGTTTATAAAGATCGCGATTCTCAAATCAAATGTTTTAAAATTTTAATGTAATGTTGGTTACGATTATATACGACACTTTATTTTGATTAAGCAATTTCCTGCGTACTAATTTTAATAAATGAAGAAAGTGGATCATTTGGCACTCATATTTGTCAAAAAATAAAGATGTTTTTTTTTTGTTCAATATAAAAAAAATGATTAAAAATTATTAAACTTAAATGTATTTAGCCAAATTTTTAATTTTAGTGGCGATGCTAGGCTATTTGCTAACTAACGCGGGCCATTCTTTCATTGCCCTCAATAAAAATACAAATGTAATGTTTATACTCCCCCCCCCCCGATTTCGTCGGATGCAGCCAGCATCCTCTCTTTCTGAGCTACTGTTGCTTTTAATATTAATAAATATAAATATCATATCAACCATGGACTCTCATTTTAACTGCAATGTATGCTTCCTTGCCAGTGTTTCTTCCAGACTTTTTTCTCCGGGGGGGGGGGGCACTTGAAATTTTCGGGGGGGGCGGTAGACTTTCTTCGGGGGAGGGGCGGACACTGTTAAAAGTATATATTTTCTATATAAATTATATAAATTTCATTTCGTTCGGGGGGGGGGGGGGCGGTAGAATTTTTTTCGGGGGGGGGGGGGGCTTCGCCACCCCTAAGAGATGCCTGGAAGAAACTCTGTTCCTTCTTCCCCCCCCCCATCCCTCTCTTATTTTCTGTTTAACAGTCATGTTTTCCACTGTCCCTAGTGTCGCATAGGCTAGGCCTTTGCAGCTGATGCAGAACTAAACTAACACTATAGCCAGAGAAGCATCAAATGTTGTATAGGTTTGGTCAGAGTATTCAAATATTGACGTAGATCTAGTAATAACTTGCATACAGTAATGGCACGACTTAACGATTCAAAATAAGCTAGAGGAAGTCAGACTTTTTAAGTGAGATTTAACGACGCTAATGTCGAGAGATAGCTAACAAAATGTACCAATGCTTACAATCTTCAGCGATAATCTAGTCTATAGTGTTTATTGTGTTATGTGGTTCTAAAACATGAGGGTACCCATCAGAGCTAAGTGGACCCAGTGTGCCAGGTACCCATCAGAGCTAAGTGGACCCAGTGTGCCAGGTACCCATCAGAGCTAAGTGGACCCAGTGAGCCAGGTACCCATCAGAGCTAAGTGGACCCAGTGTGCCAGGTACCCATCAGAGCTAAGTGGACCCAGTGAGCCAGGTACCCATCAGAGCTAAGTGGACCCAGTGTGCCAGGTACCCATCAGAGCTAAGTGGACCCAGTGAGCCAGGTACCCATCAGAGCTAAGTGGACCCAGTGTGCCAGGTACCCCTCAGAGCTAAGTTGACCCAGTGTGCCAGGTACCCATCAGCCCGGGACCCGAACTTGACGGGTCGAGCGCTCTACCTCCAGGCCACACCGTCCCATATAGTGTTATTCTACTACTCCCCCAAAAATGTATAATTTTGGCATTTTCAACCGATTTACTTTAAAACGAAATAAAAACACAACCTGTAACCCTACCATTGGTTATTACACTAGCGCTAGCCACGTCGGCTAATTTGTGACAGATGGGCTGACGTGTAGGACACAAACACGCACTCACAGACAAACATGATTTTAAGCAACACAGTTAGACACGTAATAAGACATTCTGTATTGATTGAGCTTTGAACACGGAGCGGGATGAGGGTGGAGTGGCCTAAATTACAACTGTAGTCTCTCCTCAACACGGAATGCTTTCTGTGGCATATTAAAATACCAGTAGTGCACATTAAATGCTTTAAATTAAGCAATTAATTAACTTCGCAGACATACTAGTTTTTAGTTATTTTTACAGAGGAACTGACCGTGTTATCTTTATTAAATCTGGCATCGCATTTCTAAAAGTTACTGCGGGTAGTTGTTCTAGCTGATGCTTTGTAACAGTGTTCTAGCGCATGCTGGCGTTTCTGTAGCTGATGTTCGTGTTTCTTTCTGTAGCTGATGTTGGTGTTTCTTTCTGTAGCTGATGTTGTTTCTTTCTGTAGCTGATGTTGTTTCTTTCTGTAGCTGATGTTGGTGTTTCTTTCTATAGCTGATGTTGGTGTTTCTGTAGCTGATGTTGGTGTTTCTTTCTGTAGCTGATGTTGGTGTTTCTGTAGCTGATGTTGGTGTTTCTTTCTGTAGCTGATGTTGGTGTTTCTTTCTGTAGCTGATGTTGTTTCTTTCTGTAGCTGATGTTGTTGTTTCTTTCTATAGCTGATGTTGGTGTTTCTGTAGCTGATGTTGGTGTTTCTTTCTGTAGCTGATGTTGGTGTTTCTGTAGCTGATGTTGGTGTTTCTTTCTGTAGCTGATGTTGGTGTTTCTTTCTGTAGCTGATGTTGGTGTTTCTTTCTGTAGCTGATGTTGGTGTTTCTTTCTGTAGCTGATGTTGGTGTTTCTTTCTGTAGCTGATGTTTTTTTTTCTATAGCTGATGTTGGTGTTTCTTTCTGTAGCTGATGTTTTTTTTCTATAACTGATGTTGGTGTTTCTTTCTGTAGCTGATGTTGGTGTTTCTTTCTGTAGCTGATGTTGGTGTTTCTTTCTGTAGCTGATGTTTTTTTTCTGTAGCTGATGTTGGTGTTTCTTTCTGTAGCTGATGTTGGTGTTTCTTTCTGTAGCTGATGTTGGTGTTTCTTTCTGTAGCTGATGCTTTGTAACAGTTCTAGCGCATGCTGGTGTTTCTGTAGCTGATGTTGGTGTTTCTTTCTGTAGCTGATGTTGGTGTTTCTTTCTGTAGCTGATGTTGGTGTTTCTTTCTGTAGCTGATGTTGGTGTTTCTTTCTGTAGCTGATGTTGGTGTTTCTTTCTGTAGCTGATGTTGGTGTTTCTTTCTGTAGCTGATGTTGGTGTTTCTTTCTGTAGCTGATGCTTTGTAACAGTTCTAGCGCATGCTGGTGTTTCTGTAGCTGATGTTGGTGTTTCTTTCTGTAGCTGATGTTGGTGTTTCTTTCTGTAGCTGATGTTGGTGTTTCTTTCTGTAGCTGATGTTGGTGTTTCTTTCTGTAGCTGATGTTCTGGAACAGTTCTGGCCCATGTTGGTGTTTCTGTAGCTGATGTTGGTGTTACTGTAACAGAATTTCTGGGTGTAGGCCTACGACACAACCTGAGTACTGTTTCTGTTAGGTAGACGAAATTGACCAATGGAAAAGGGAAAAATTAGAAATAAAGTGACGATAGAAAGGAAACACAATAACACGCTGTCACACAATAACACAATGTCCCACTTTAATCCTATGTCCCACTGTAACAATGGCCCTTTGCAACAATGTCCCACTATAACATTGAGACACTATAGCTCAATGTCCCTCTGTAATAATGTCTCAATAATGAAAATTAAACATAGGTCGTGTAAATGTCATTGAACGTAAACCTATCAATAAACTCGCTACAAAAGGGAATTATTATACTCTCCTTAGGTAAGCATCCAGTCTTTTATTTTTAGTCATAACAGCGTATATAGCTTGAGTAAGATCACACCAAAGTAAAAAAAAATAAGTGCATAATTTCTTTTGTGATTTTTGTATGTTATGTGAATATAATAAAAGCTTTTTTCTATAACTATTTTAAAATGTAACAATTATTTTCCACTTTTTACTTTCTCGTATATACGAAGTATAGAGAAAGTCTTGTAATCGTGTAAAAAAAAATCGAGATTTTTACAAATCTCGAAGTTTTACACCTCCCTGAGTCGGAAAAACATATTTTTGCAATATTGTCCGTATGTCTGTGTGTATGTGTGTGTCTGTGTGTCTGTAAACACGATAACTTGAGTACCTTTACAGCTAGGTTGATGAAATTTCATATATAAGTATGTTATCAAAATTGTAGATCTCTATTAACTTTTGAGCGATTTCCGGTAACCGGAAGTGGTACTTTTTCTACTTTGAATTTTTCAAAAGCCTATAACTTGAGTACTATTTCAGATAGATAAATGAAATTTCACATGTAAGTAAAAGATCTAATCCTCTACCTTCTATCAAATTTTGAGTAATTTCCGTTGATCGGAAGTAGTAATTTACGCTATTTCCGATTTCTCAAAAAATGAAAAAAATGTATAAAGTACTAATAATATTCCGCACTATTATGCATATTTTGTTTTGGCGTTCGCTTCTTGCGCAATTCTTTTTTCTACGAGATTCTATTCTATTTTTAAAAGTTTAAGTAATTAAAAATCATGTATATATTCCGAGTTGCCATCCCACGTAGTTTTATATAAGAATATTCGAGAAAGTTTAGGGGAGATCACTCCCGGTTTATTAGTAATTCGTTCGAAATGAAGTTGACACAACATTGCTATAACTAAAAATATGTGCTTCAAATCCTTCTAGTAACTTGTTATCTCTAATTTCAGTTATCTGTACTTAGTTCGTGGTCGACGTCATAGGGAATGAAATTAGCCAACCGTGAAAAGAGTTCACCCTCGACGGCTCTCTGATCAAGCGATCGCTACTACTTATCTTGTTATCTCCCCTTTTATCATTGCATGTTGTCATTAAATATAGTACATTTTAAATTAGATAGTCTCTGTGTTTATATTAAAAATGAGATATTCTTGCATTGTCATCCAAGATCTAGATCTACCACTGTGTGCCACATTTCAGCGCTATCGGACAATTGTAAGAGGGTGAAATTTATATTCCAAGATATGTGGAGCCACACACAAACGCACACACATACATGGTGAGCTAAATAAAAGCCTTTAAGAAGAAAACGAACGGAGATAAAATAATACTTTGAATGATAAAGTAGTTAGTAAACAATGTCTATAGGGCAAGTGAAGTAGAGTTCACTTGTTTCTGTGACCTCGGCATATGAAGAGATAGTGTGGTCAGCACTATGCCCATCCGCCTTTACTTTCCCTAAAGTGAGTTAGGTACCCATCATTGTTGGGTGGACTCAGGGACGGTCTACTGACTTGAACCCGGGTAAGCTGTCCAGCTCTCCACCGCTAGACCACTCCGTCCCATTGTAGTAAACAAAGTCAAATACGTATTTGTACATAACTTTACCGTTTCTGGAACTTGAAAACTCGACTTTTTGAGTTTTCAAAGTATCTGTATATGTATATATATATATATATATATATATATATATATATATATATATATATATATATATATGTATATATATATATATATATATATATATATATATATATATATATATATATATATATCGAGAAACTTTAACCTATTTGTTTATTCACTACTACCCCTATCCTGAAAACCTGTATACACCCCTGCTAAGCCTAGACATGTTATCAATGAAAATGACAGCATGACAAATAAAAGTAATTTTTAATTATGTTTGGGAACGCTGTTGATCTGTGAATCTAGTCACCCGACCTAGTGACGCAACTAGTCGTACTGCATTGCAACCCATTTTCTTAAGACAACTGACGATTACAAGATGTCCAATTAAATTACACGCGTTTTATTGCTTTATTGTTTTTTTTTTTGTTTTTTTTGCAAAGAAAGGAAACATCTTTTTGAGTATGCTTCTCAGGTTGCGGGCGATGACCAAGCTTCAGAAGTGAATGTGAAAGGCTTTAGGGCACTTTATTTATTTCGAGATAATTTGCGTTATAATTTTGTATTGCATTGAACCCGGAAGGGAAAGTCTGTTTTTTGTTTTTTGCTGGATGAAAGCGAGGCTCATTACCATAATAAGTCTAGATAACGATTTATAACATAGACCCAGAGTCTATGCCTAGTTGAATGTACAGTTATAAACTTAAAATTTACACATTTGCTTTTGCCTGAACGGTTACATTAACTCCAGATACGTTTTTGGGATTTCATTAAGATCTACAGGTAGATCTATTTATTTTTAACTTAGATTTTCGTTTAAAATGAATAATTAATTTTTAAAGATGGAGTCCTAGAGTTGGTAATCGGTGTAAAACTCCGGTAATCTATCGTTTTTTAGGTAGATTCTAGATCTAGAGGAGTTTACACTTTTCGGACACACACCAAAAATTACGTAGGACCGAACACTTCGTCGGTTTTTGGCTCATAGAAACTTTAATTAGCATGTCTCACGCGAAACCACGGCGCCTGCACGTAAACTGTTCATTTATGAACACTTCCGTGTCAAGTACTTCCGTTTCCTTTCTCAAGAATTATTTTTAGAAATTTTTTAACGTTGCATGGTACGCACATTTCTATTTTTACACCAGCCGGATGAAGTGACCTAGGGTTGGACTTAGGGGCAAAACTTGAACCAATCACTGCTTAGCTAAAAGGTTACACTATAAATAGCTTCTATATATGTATGGAACATCGTAAATGTCAAGGTTAATGGGTTTTTTCGTGCTTGAACAATAAAAAAGGGGTGTTCGCTAACTTATTTGGCCTTACATGGGATCGGACAGCAACACAAAAATATTATTAAATAAGAATTTAGAGCATAAAAGGGGCTGGTTATTGAAGGGAAAGGGTCAAAATAAGGTCAAGAAGGCAGTGGAATGCAAAAGAGGAGGGGGAATCATGTGACCTGGCTGGCTTAGCAGCGTACTGCGCGAGCCGCAATGGCTGAATGGGATGAACTTTGGGAGTGTGGGAAAAAGGTTTTATACTATTAAAATTACCTCACAAACAATCAATAACACAATATAAATGCATATAATATATGTTTTTATTCATTAAATTGACTTTAAATTATTCTAAATGAACAAAAAGTGCTATGTCCGATGACGGGTAAAGGTGTCCGAACACATGTAAAACTGTATTACATGTGTTCGAACACACGTTAAGACCCCCCAGTCACTATAACAAGAATAGCTTAAGTTCTATGCGTATGAATACAAAATGACACACACATTATTAAAGTAGAATGGTTGCGGATAGATATGATACTTTTTTTTGTTTTCTATGTTAAGCGGTTACTGAATGAGACCGCATGGAATTTTTACGTTGCGTTTTTTCGCTATGTGTGTCCGAAAAGTGTAAGCTCCTCTAGATCTAGATCTAGAAATCTACGTAAAATCGCCCGCGGCTAGTAATGTACGAATAAGTTACCTCATTGTCAAGGCTTTAATAGAAGTATATTAATACGAAGTGTCTACTCGGAAGATTTTTCTCCCCAACGTCTCCACTTAGTCGGCAAAAGATAGCTCTGCGCATGCGCAGTGACCTAGGGTTAGGGCTAGAATGAGGGTTTGGGATAGGGTTAGGGATAGGATTAGGGATAGGGTTAAGGATAGGATTAGGGTTGGTGTTAGGGTTCTGCGCTTGTAAACACACGCATGCGCAGTACCATCGAAAACATCGCCGCTAAGGCAAGTCGTAGTTTCTCTCCATTGCGCATGCGTATCGCATGCGTATCTTATACCGGCTAGAATCGGCCATATTAATATTGTGATATATTTGTGTAAAATTTGATAAATGAATAATAAACCTAATTCAATGGCAAAATAAATACGAAGTGACTACTCGGAAGATTTTTCTCCCCAACTTCTCCACTTAGTCGGCAAAAGATAGCTCTGTGCATGCGCAGTGACCTACAGCTAAGGATAGGCCTAGAATTAGGGATAGGGTTAGTCACCGATTAGTGATAGGATTAGGGTTGGAGTTAGGGTTTTGCAGTTGTAAACACGCGCATGCGCAGTACCATAGAAAACATCGCCGCGATGGCAAGTCGTAGTTTCTCTCCACTGCGCATGCGTATCTTATTCCGGCTAGCATAGGCCAATAAATTTATCAATATAGGCAAGAAATTAACTTTAAACAGCAGTGTTTGCGAGCAGGATTTGCTATATAAAAAGCAGCCATCTGTAAGTTTCACCATGAGTTCACATTGACTTTAATTATCTTTTATCAGCATATGTCATAGCTCGGGCAATAGCTGTTTGAAATTGTGTTGGCCTCAGTTTTGGGGTCATTGTAAGTTCATAAATGTTTATTTATAGTATCATGCCTGGGAGATACTTTTAACAATACAAACTTAACAGCCTTGCAATAGTGAGGTCCGTTTACGTACTTCACCCATTACCATGAAAATCCTAAATGTCATGACACGAACATAGCACAAACAATATTCTAAATTTGGATTTTTCTCAAGTTTTGACAAAAGTAAATTATCTAAATCTTAGACGAAGTCAGTCTCTTTGTTTTTTTATTCATTTTTATTCATTTGTTAAAACAAAAATACAATACAAATAAATAAATAAATAAATCGTGTTTTCCTAATGTTTTGGTGTGTTTCGGTTATTATAATAAAATACGCCCATCTGGAGGTAAATGAGAAGCGGAGAATAAGATACGCTAAAATGGAGTTTTACGGGTAATCGGAATTAGAATTATATTGTGAAATATTTGTGTCAAATATTTTAGATAACTGAATAGTAAACCAAAATCAACTGCTAAATATATCAATATTAGTCAGAAATTAGCTTTAAGCAGCAGTTGGCCTATTTTCTATATAAACAGCGATCATCTGTAAGATAGAGTGTTTTCCCCTGAATCTCTTATAATTTAATAAAAAAAAAAACAACTTAAGATGGATGCTGAAAAGTTTTAATACAGTGTTTAAAAACAGGTAGATCTAGATTAATAAAACTTTGAAACATTTCTTGTAATTTTCAAAATATAAATCTGACTAAAAATGTGAAATAATTGCTAAAATTTTAATGAGTCACCTTTTTTCACATTACTAGTCTCGGCATATTTTACGTACCTAAAACGATAGATTACCCTAGCTCTCTAGATCTACTCTCGTACTCTGATCTAAATCTAGTAGTCTGGCTCATTGCTGAAATGGCGGGATGACCTCTGACCCTGAAATGTCACGCATCTTTTTTTGTGGTTTTTTCGTTTTTTAGGGGTCCTTTACACGACAAATGAAAAAACTTCTAATTTCTCAAAATCTCATCATTTTAATGTGAGATGCTAAATAAATGGATGCCATGCCTGAAAATGGGCGAAAAAAATCGCCAGATGTTTTTAATTAATACACGCTATTCTTGTCGAGTACTCTTGGGAAAAACTGAACTGCCTCTTTAAACGCCCGGATCACAGTCGAAACCCCCGGTACAAAAGTAGTAATATATAATTGAGATATTTATAATGAGTAATTACAGTTATGTTGATTTGCCTTTTTTATATTGAATTTCCATATGAGGTACCCATGCACACATTTCTGTCCGCTATTTTTGGTATCGTTACGTCATTGTTACGCTAGTTGCCTGACAGAATCAACTAGTTTTTGGTTTTTTTTGCGGAATGAACTGTTAAGTCTAGCATTTTCATTATAATTCAATTGTAGCGTGTGCAGAAAAAGAAAAATTGTGGAAATTATTATTGTATTAGTAATTTTATTATGGGACGGAGTAGTCTAGCGGTAGAGAGCTGGACTGCTAACCCGTAAGTCTCGAGTTCGAATCCGGGTTAAAGTCAGTATACCGTCCCTGAGTCCACACAACTCTGATGGGTACCTAACTCACGTTAGGGAAAGTAAAGGCTGCTGGGCATAGTGCTGACCACACTATCTCTACATATGCCGAGGTCACAGAAACAAGTGAACTCTACTTCACTTGCCCCATAGACCGTCAGGTTTGAAAGGGAAACTTTTTTTACTTTTAGTAATTTTGTTAGTATATTGATTTTTTTCTTCACTGTGGGCCGACAGTAGCTACATTGAATTTAATTCGTGAACGGTGGTTTACCTCGCCAACGCTGCGAACCTATTCGTCTATATGAAGTATGAAGTTAGTATGAAGCGTTGTTTAGTATTTCTAACGATGCTCTCTCAGTGGCCTTTTTCAGAGCTAGGCCTAATTACAGGCGATTTTTAGACTCAATTGATCGACCGTTAGCCTCTTTCATTGTTGCGTATTTTAAACAGTGCTAGTTCAGCTGCCTTTTTTTTTGGTGCTAAATAATCTGTTTACAGGCATTTTAAGCGTTTATTTATTATTATTTTTAAGCTAGACCTAGATCTCGTTTAAAAAAATTTTGCTAGAGCATTATTTTGTCTGTTAAAATTACAATTGGTATCAGTACAAGATGGAGAGCTTTTATCGTTTTTTTTTCAAGACAAATTTTATCAAGATAGATCGATTTCAATTTGAAATTAAATATTTAAATTACTTTACCTTACTACATTAAACTACATTTGCTTTATCTATTAAGAGTTTAAAAATAATGTGTACATTTTGTGTAGATAAAAAAAATTAAGCTAAATTTTAAAATTCGTCTTAGCTATGTATCCATTCGGCTCTACTCTGTAATAATTTTAAAATTGTATAAATTAGTTTAGGCCGCAGTTGCGCGGTTCCCTCCTCGTTACGTACCCCTCCCCTTTTGAGAGGGACATCACTTATGGATGACCTACTTATATTGATGATAATGAACACACACAAAAGGTTTTAATTTTGGACCTTCCAAACAGTTTTTGACGTACAATCGAAATTAAAAGAAAAACTGTTAGTTTACAAGTTATCCTTGAAGGAACTTTCTTCTTGGTGGCATTTGATAAAATATAATTGTAAAACATAAGTGGCAACTTAGCACATAGCACCTGGCAAAAAGTATTCCTGGTATCAAATTAATTGGTTATTATCACTCTGTAACATGGGACGGAGTGGTCTAGCAGTAGAGAGCTGGACTGCTAACCCGTAAGTCTCGAGTTCAAATCCGGGTTCAAGTCAGTAGACAGTCCCTGAGTCCACCCAACTCTGATGGGGAAAGTAAAGGTGGCTGGGCATAGTGCTGACCTCACTATCTCTTCATATGCCGAGGTCACAGAAACAAGTGAACTCTGCTTGCCCCATAGACTGTCAGGTTTGAAAGGGAAACTTTACTTTTTTTTTTTGACTCTGTAACATTAATAACTAAAATTTTAACTGTTGTGTAATAACACCATAATATTTTCAAAAGCTGATGATTTGTTTAAATGAATATTATCTTGTCACAAAGAAACATCTTTCAGTCAGAATTATTAAATATAATTTTATCTTACTTCAGGTTTATTGTTTTATAAACTGACGTCTTCTCTTAAGGTAACTTTTTTAGTTGTTTTTATTACAAACTGTTCCTAGACTTAACATTTTGTAGTACACTGCTGATTGTCTTTTTTCTTGCTTTAATTTTAAAATAAAAAGTGGACAGTTGAAGTGGTTTAAAATCCAGCAAAAAAATAAATATATATATTCATTGGCTTATGCTTTTGTTTCAGTGTTATGCTTTGCTTTTATTTCTTGTTTGCCTTGGTTGTTTTACCTAAAATCTAGGTATTTATAAGCTACTGAAAATTCATTTAAAAAAAAATGAAATATATTTTAATCTTGATATTTTAAAATCCAATGGTGTATTTACACATCCATACACATAAATGAAAAAGTTTTTCCATGCAGCTTTTTATGTAGTAGATATATGCAGATTTATATGTGAACATATAGTTTACTAAACTATTTCAGTAGTGTGGATTGCCCTTTTATTTACCTTAGTCAATACAGAATATGTAGCAAACACTTTTTATAACACACTAAATAGATGTTCCTAAATAACAGATAATTTGTCTTAACTATCTTTTAGTATTGTCACTTTCTGCTGCAGACAGAGTCGTCTTAAGTAAACCTGGCTTATTCTGAGTCCTTAAGTAGTTATGTATGGAGTTGGGGAAGGTATGAGGGTACAGTAGCTACATTTTAAATTATCTATATTAAAGGCTAGTAGATTATAATGTTGTTTTACATTAGTTTCTCTGCAAGTTTCAATTTTCTCATAAAAATCTTTACTTTTTCATCTGTTTGAAATTAAACATCCGGTTTTTGATGGCTACAGAAGGCTGAAACTTTAAATTTTACTCTTAAATGTGTGTATGTACTTAAATTATAAACACATGTGGCAAATAGCTCAAGACTAAAATCATATTTCATGTTAACTAGCTTACAGTTAAACCAGAACTTGGCCGACTTTAATCAAAAGGAGATAAAACACTTATACACAACTTAATTTGACTGACAACGGATAGATTTTAAAATATTATCTATATAAGCATATTATCTATATATATATATAATTCTCTTCATGGGGACCATATGAGACACCACACAGTTTAGCCACCACCCTCATCCCCACCTGTCAGGTGAGCGATGGTTCACCCCGAATGTTTTCAATATTAGAGGCAGATAATTCAGTCTTTAAACTATTTGAAACTAAAGGCAGATAATAAATTCTGCTTGATATTTTTATTGTTGGTTGTCGTCTGTAAACGGCTGCTTTCACTGGGTGGGGGGGGGGTAGTGTCGAATTCACAAATTATGAATTGTTGATCAGTAGAAAATAAAACAACTAGATAGCCGCTTATACTACATCGCGGGTCAGCTCGTATTTAAGAATATGTACATGAAGCTTTTTGCTCAAAACATTTTTTTTCTTTTTTTTGTAAGTTGTAATAAAAACAATTACTATATTTTTAAATTGGCCCTAAAGTTTTTCAGCATTAAAAAGTGATTGTGTTTTCAGCAATATAAATGAAGCTAGGAAACTTTAACAGTAGTTTTATTGTACTATATTCTGTCCTTTAACCATTAATGTCCTATTCATTCTACCAAAACTCCACCCATGACGGCCCAATGTAAGGAGCATAACTCTGTATGATCAAGTGAATAGTTTCACAAAATATTTGTTTTTGTCTAAATGAAATTGAAAATTAAGATAAAAACTACTGCTTAATGTTGGGAATAAACCTGGCTTTCCAACAGTATTAAATAGAATATATTATATTCGGTAAAAGTACAGTATAAAATTAAAAAATGTCGGAGAAAATTCAAAACAGGTCATTTTCGGTAGTCAACTTTATTTATTTTTGTCTAAACAACTATGCATCGAATTTAACAGTTAAATATCAATTTGGTTATGTTTAAGATATATAATTCATAAAATACATGCCTAGATACGTTAGAGGCATTATTTTATTTTATTTTTAATATTAAATCTACTAAAAATAGGACAGATGAGTCTAAAATTTCGAGATAGAAAGAAACTATTATTTTTTATCTTTCAAAAGCGCCATTGAAATTAGAAGACCGGAAAAGGATGCTGAAACTATCCGACTTCCTGTTTAGTTAAAAATTAGGATGTGTAGGCCAAATTTTAATGAAACAAATTTAATTTTTCTATGCGTATTGTAAGCGGGCGTTACGGGACATTAACGGTGTTGGGCGGCAGCGGGCGTTACGGGACATTAATGGTTAAGAGGTCAACCATTATTTGATTTCACAAAGAAAATGAAATGTACTATCCCCACCGCAACTTTGGACTGACTAAACACATCCACAGAAATATATTAATACAGCCTAATGAGTTAGTAATTTCTGCTATCCTGTATGTTAAGTCATAAGGCCATATCATATTAGGCTTATATGCGCTCTTTGTCTATGGCTTACAGCAGAGCGATTTAAGTTCAAAAAGAAAATTGCAATCATGGGGGGGGGGGAGCTCTTTTTTTTTTGACAGGTAGGGACTGCATATTCCTTGCAATCTATTACAAAATATCTATTAAAGTAATTTTAATATTTTTTATAATTGTAAGGTACTTCTTTTTCAAAAGCCTATGTGCAATTAACATCAATATTCGTGCGTGTATTATTATACAAATCACAATCTATACCCTTATAGAAACTTAATTTTTTATAACTAATTGAGAATCTACACTTCCATTCTCCCAACAGAGGAATTTCTGTTAATATATTGTGTCATACTGTTGGGCTGAGATCTATAGAGAAAGTTTTGAAAATAAAATGACAGAAGGCCGTCCCTCTATATCTGTAAATGGAAAGAAGGATAAAAGGTATTAAATTCTGCCATCATGTTGGTCTATTGTTCTTTTTTATAACAATGTTACTTCAGTTAAGTGTTTTTAGGAATAATTAGATAGGTTTTATCCTTAAGACGTCTCTGTTTGCTTAAAGTTAGAAAGGTTTCTTTTAAAGATGCACTTCATTTTCCAAAACTATGATAGTCGTCATACATTCTTTATGAAATTTTTTCTCAAGAGAGTCTGATATGTTTTTTAGATTAACTTAAAAATCAATCTTTGTAGATAATATCATATACTTTAAAAACTGAATGGTGAGGATAATGGAGTTAGCAAGAAAATATTAACTTTAACTGCTTATATTTATGCTGTCATAATCTTGTCATATACCATTTGGAATAACACTTCTGCACCTTATAAGTTCAATATGGGTACAATTTTTTTAAATAATTAGCATTTTAGTACTTATGTTTGTTGATACTCCTCGACAGAGGCATAGCGCCCCCCTCCCATATATTTTTTATGTTTATAATTCAAAACTGCAGCTAAAATTAGCTTTTAATTATTTTTTTCAAACCCATTTTGGCGCCCCTAGGGTCGGCACACAGGGACATACGGCTGACTTAAGCTTACGGAAGATGCTGGTGAATGAGCTTCACTTGGGTTAGGGTTATTTACTGTTAATGCTAAGCTCTTTCCATCACTTTAATTCACTTGTTACACTCTTAGGTTAGGTTAGCTTGTCGCCCCTCCTGGGACATAGGACGCTGACAAGAACTTTCCTAGCATCTCTGTCCTGGGCTGGTCTCCAACTGTCCCCAGGTGTATCCCATCTTCTTAGTGTCTTCTTCCAGGTCACGCCTCCAGGTCTTCCTTGGTTAGCCTCTTTTCCTTTTGCCCTGTGGAGAGCCTGTCTTGTTATGCTAGATACAGGCTTCCTGAGTGTGTGGCCATTCTATCTCCATTTTCTTTGAAGGATCTCTTCTTCAGCTGACAGTTTAATTGTTCGTTGCCATAGTACCTCATTTTTGATGGTGTTAGGTCAGTGTATTCTAAGTATCTTTTTCAGGCATTACATACAACATAATTGAACCTTGTTTTGTTACTTTTGCTTAGTTTCATAGATGCTTTTCTCTTTGCTTCCCTTTACTTTTTTCGCCATGCTTTCCTAATATTCTCCACTCTTTTCCACGCAGGCTGTTAAATTAAACCTTTACGTGGAGGTTTTGTTTTTTCTCACTTTTATAATGTTTCCGAAATGAGTTACGTAAATGTCATTAAATAGCTCCAATGCATAATCATTCGTAACTTTTTGGGGTGTTTCTTTTCCACTAACAAAATCAGCTAATCCAGTTACTTGTTTCTAAAATTTTGCTTGTATGTCAAAGCAAATTTGAGCTTGCTGGACAGTTTGTTTCTAAAAAAATTGTTTTCTCGGGGCACTTGTGTAACGAGGTGCAACTATATATTGAATTACTTTTGTAAAAAAAATAAGTTTATTTAGTATTGGACACTAACCAATATAAATAGTGCATTCACCAATTTTTACATACCTTACTGATTTTGTTACTTGTACTTAAAGTTAATTAAAATGTTCAGTTGAAAAGTGAACTACCATTTAATGCCAGTTGGTAAATACTGGTAAAATAAATTAAAATATATGTGTGTATGTATATATATGTATATATATATATATGTATATATATGTGTATCTATAATATAAGCGGGCTGAGCGTGTCCTTCCTTCCGTCCGTTATCGCTATAGATTTTGGGACTATAAAAGTAAGCTACGCACCATGCTGTGCTTTTCAGTGCACCGCAGTGTCTGATTATAAGTAATTGAGTAGGGTTTGTTTATATAACGGCATAGAGCTATTTTATAATTTCCACTGTTTGTACAATTTTGCATAACGTAAAGAGAATATTAAATACACGCACATTGCTAAAACATATTAAAAGGATCAATGTCAAATATTATTTTCTTTTTTATGCCTTGAAAAAGTGGAAGCATTTTAATAACCTTATAACAGTAGGGTAGAAAAATCAAATAAATTTAACTCTTTTTTTGACAAGGGAGGTAATTTAAAAATAAATTAAACTCACGCTAATAAAAAAAAAAATGTGAATGCAAATCTACTGACCTTTTAGAAGGAATTAGTGTTGCAATAATATAATTAGCAAAATGTGAATGCAAATTGTGCGGATGCGGATTGTTAGAAAATTATAATTAGCATGGAT